TGAAGATCAGAATTATAAAGGGCGGGACAAAGCCATCGTTTTTCCTGCACATACAACTATTGCTTTTAGTGTATTTGAACTTTATATTCATTTGGATGGTAATTTTGGTAAGTGAGGTGCATTATTATCATTACTACTACTATTTGCAATGGTCTGAGTTTTTAAAACAGTTTTCTTGCTCCTGATATACTTGGGCCCTGATTGCATACAATGGTATGCCTTAATTTTATGCACAAAAGTAGTCTGACTTTCTAAGGGAAACAATTATTGAAAAGATAAACAAGGCAGGTACTAGAAAATAGTCTGTCATGGAAACATTTAAAAGTTAAGTATGATTTTGTAATTTTTTAAAATCCTGCAGTTGCATAGAACAAAAAATCAGTTCCTTGTATTTCTAGCCTGTAAGAATAGGCGTATGAGACCACCTGATCAGTTTTGCATAAAATAGGCAAGTAAAAAGACCCAAGTGAAGAAGAATGTGTGCAGAACTTCTAAACTAAGCTAACTTTTTTTTCTGTTGGGGCTTTAATTTCAGTCTGATACATCATTACCATATATGGATAGCTGAAGATATTCAGGAAGAAACAATCACAATTACTGAAAACTAATAAAAAAAAGATTGCATAGCTTCTCTAAGTTTTATCTCCTTTTAGGGAAAGGATAGTGCTTATATATTTACATTATTTGCAATAATTAAAGTGTAGCCTATAATATTATCAGTGTTACCAATATTGTTTGTAATAAACCAGAAAGTCAATTTTAGGATTTGGTCTACTACTTGATAATATCAAACACAAAACTCCCCACTGACCAGAGTAATGTGAAAAAGTTTTAACCATGAGATTCCCCTGGACTTACATACAGGAACCTCTCTGAGAGTCACCCAACTGTTTCAGGAATTCCTTGGCTCTGTAACATTGTGTCTTTCTGTAAATAGTAAGATAAAAGAGCTGGTTAGGGAAGTAATCTCTTCTAAAACATAGATCTGTACAGCACCATGCTTTAGAAGTGGCAGATAGTGCTGTACCCTTTGGCATGCCCAGTATAAAACTTCTGTGACAGGAATTCTGCATTGTAAAGCACCTTTTTACTGAACTGCGAGATCCCTTTACGCTTCTGTAAAAACTTTACTCTAAACCAGGCATAATTACTGGACTAAAAGTAAAAGATATAATACAGTATGGTAGTTCTTTATATTGACTTCCATAATGCTCAACATTAATTTTAGTTTTGGAAGTGTTTTAATTTTATTTTACCTTTATGCAATGGTACATGCACTATGTTTTTCCTTAAGTAATTATCAGTGAAATAACCAATGAAGCTGATATTTGTATTTGCATAATTAAAGAGAATTCTCAATTGAGAACGTTTAAAGTACGTTTTTTTTCAGTTCCTTGTAATTGATTATCCTTATACTTCACTTTAAAGGTTTCTTTCAAGTTATGGTTAGAAACTTGGGTGGTACTTCTTTTTATTAAAAAAAAAAAAAAAAAGTTTTAGTAGTTGATTTAGAGATGACTACAGAACTCACAGCCTTGCTTACGATTTTTCATTTTTACTTCCAAATGAGAGCATAGAAATGTTTCTCCTTCAAATTGGGACTTCCATTTGTATGATACTGACTGTCTTAGTCCCTTAATATGGTCATAAATTGTGTGAAAACCAAAACAAATTGAATATGTAGGTTGAAAGCCACCAACATTTTAAAATTCCCATTGAATTTATGTCACTTGATTCTTTGGGCTATTACTGTGTGCAGACTTGTATTAAAAAGTGGTACTAGCCGTTAAAAACGAACAAAGCTGAATTTGATCACTGTTAGCTTTATAGATTAGAAAGCTTACTAAACTCTGTTGTGCAATTATTGCTTTTATATTTTGTCCTTCTAAAAACTTATTTTTAATATTTACAGAACTCTGTGTGACTCCAATTTCAAAAGGAGGATTTGAAAAAGAGAAATCTGGATCATCTTCACTGACCAAATTAAGGAGGTTAAAGAGAAATCTGTTTCATCAAAGTACGACTTTTGATATTTATATCCAAATGTCTTAGTTAATATATGAAGAGTGTATTTTTGTTTTTTTGTGTGCAAGATGAACATTTAAAGAAGAAAATTCTGATGGAAAATGTACCTCAATTTCTTCTGCATTGAAATGCTTGTAAAGTTATTAGATTTATATTTGAGAGTCTGACTCTTTCACAAATAACACATTTATGGTATTGCTGTTCATTAAAACTAAAGATCTTAAAATAAAAATTTATGGCTGATGATAAAACTGGTATGGAATAATTATACAACTAACTCCAGTTAACATTAAACCTATTTCATATGCTTGCCATTTACAGCTGGTGTTATGCAATACAAATTATAATTTATAAATAATATTTCAAGGCACACTCTTTTAAGTTTTACTATCAATCAGTATTAATTTAAACATTTGAATGTACTCTTTAGGCTACATGTTCACATGGCAGGGTTGCCCAGAGAGGTTGTGGAATCTCCCTCCCTGGAGATATTAAAAAACTGTCTGGACAAAATTCTGGTTCATGTGCTGTAGGAGTCCCTGCTTGAGCAGGGTGGTTGGACTAGATGACCTTCAGAGGTCTGTTCCAACCTCAACCTCAACCATTCTGTGATTCTGTGAAGATATCGTAGTTCTCATTCTGATATGAATATAACATCCAACAAAACTGAGTATTGCTGTATGTAGCTATAGTTTCTTCAGAACAAGATTCTATACTTTTAACACTCCTTGGTCCAAGTATTTTGGAAATCTGCAAATCTGAGTACGAAGATAAATGTTGAGCAGTAAACACATCCTTCTAAAGGCTGCTCTATATAGGTGTCCTTGCTCCATTGTATCCCATTCTGGTCAAAGGGCTTTTAGCCTTCAGTGCTTCTCCAGTCCACACTAAGGGAGTAAATCTTCATTGGGTAAGATACATCTCAGTAGCTGTCTAGAAGTTTGTCATCCAATCTAAATTAATCACTCCCTGAAGACAGGGGAAAAAGTAGTTGGTAGTTCCAAAAGTGATTTCTTCTTGGAGTGTTTGGGTTCTTACAAATGTGCTAGGAGGTCAGCATGGACTTCTCCAGATTTTCTAAACCTTTTAAGTATTGGTGTTTTTTTCTTGTAAATACAAGGAAAAGAAGCAAATTTACAATTTTTAGAAAATAAACCTAGAAATGCAAAAATTAAAATGGTTAAACAGGAAAGTATGCAGCTGTGATTTGATTTGGCACCAATTTTTCAAAAGCTTGCGAGGCGTATCTTTAAGGTGCATTTCTAAAAATATTTTAACTATATAGGTCACATAAAAATTTTCTGGCTTTTGTCAGCATCTTGTGAAATTAAAGAAAAACTTTAATCACAGGGCTTTTGATGGGAAGTAATCTACAACGTGTCATGTTTAGAATGGTTTAATGAATCAGTTGTTACTAGGTTAACAGATTGTTTTGTAAACAGTACATATGTAATAACAAATCATTGCTTCTTTTTTTTGTGCGTTCTCTTTCAGATAAAAGAGTGGTGGATACCATCGCTAACTCTGATGCTTACTTAGAGGACCTTCTTACAGATTATTACGAAAAAGCTGCAAGCATGACTGATCTCTCTACAAGCTATCTCAGAGAGGGGTCTCATATCCGAATTAATTTACTTAATAACAACATCCCCAAAGGTCCCTGTGTCCTTTGTGGAATGGGAAGTTCTAAAAGGGAGACAGTCTATGGATGCCTAGAGTGTTCTTTCAACGGACAAAAGTACGTACGACTGCATGCTGTGCCCTGTTTTGACCTCTGGCATAAGAGAGTCAAGTAACTGAGCTAGGTAAGTGCCTGTTGTCACAGACATGGGCATAACTGTGCCACAGACTTTTCAGAATTAGTAAATATGACTCATTGTTGAAATGCAAAATAGTGAAAGTGGAAAACATTTTATTACACTATTATCTTCAAATTATTTGCATAACAGTCAATGACCCTTTACTTGAAAATGCCCTGACGTTGTTTTTTTCTTTCTAGTACCTTCTCCTTTCATTATCATGATAATGAAAAATGTACTTTTAAACTAAGTTCTAGCATATATTTTGATATTATGAAAATACAGTTTAAGTTGTTTACAGAAACTTGTTTTTAAATACCACAATGTTGCCTTTATCTACACTGGCATATGATGGTAAAATGAGAATATTTGTTAATAATTTAGAGTTCTCATGAATGTTTAATTGAGGTATCAGATTAAAAAACATGCTAAAACTTAGCTCAGTCTAATGTTTCATTTACAAAAGGGAACAACTAAAACTAGGGATAGGCGTTTCATATTAGGATGCCATTACCACATGTCAACAGTTTGTTTAGATTACTAAAAAGTACCAGCCAGTCTACCTTCTGTATTGGATTTTAGGTCACAGCTGCTCTTGACTTTCTTTTATTTGTTCAGAAAAAATTACTTAGCAGAAAATGTTTTGGAAGCTTACTAAAATAACAGAACTACATCCTTGCAACAAGACTTCAATGATGAAGGTCTGTAACCAGTACATCTCGAACACAGAAAATTAAGTCTGTGTTGTTGAGAGTAAAAACACCAGAGGGCACTACAGAATTGTGTCCAATACTGAGATTGGGAGCACTGTTGGTTAGTACACTGCTGAAGCTCTTCTCATGCTATTTTAAACTGGGAAAACACTTAAAAAATGTTTTTTTACCGTTTAGAATGATTTTAAGGATAACCCAGGTATGGAAGCTTTTTTACTTGGGGTGCCACTTTCACTGGCTACATCTATTACATGTTGAAATGAATACAGCCACTGCCTTTCACATGAGAAGAGTTAAGTATGTTATACAAATATTATGATGACATATGCATAAGCAGAAGAGGTAACAAGCATGAAGTACTGTCTATTAACTATTACTACTTCTCTGCATCTTTCCAAAGTGAGGAAAACCAGAATGATGCCCTAATAATTATTTCTGTTTATACAGAGTATCTGCCATGTTCTTTTGAAATATCTAACACATTTTATTAGTTGAATGTTAAAAATAAGATTTTTACAGTTATCTTAAGAGATATAAAAAGATGCCACTTTTAAAAAAATACTAAAAATTCTTTGACAAAGTATTATTATTTAAAATTCAGTGTCCAGAAAACAGCCAAAGATTTTTTTATTAGTACTTAGAGTTCATCATGCTGGTAGACATTGTACTCCTTTGCTGATATGAAACCATCTCCATCATGGTCATTCTTCTTAAATATATCAGCTAAGATTTCATCATGGACTGAGGGATGACGTTTTTTACCATCTCTTGCAAATTCTTCTTTCAAATACTGGCTTATCTAGAAGAAAAGAAAAAAGTCCAACCATTGTGGCTTTTACATTGGTACTCAACTGCTATCTTCAAGGACACTCATGGTATATATGTAAGTTATTGTCACTCCAGTGCAGACACGTCTGAAGTTTGTTTCCCAGTAAGTCTAAGACGTACCAATGTATTAATCAAAGCAAATTTCAACATTGCACAGTGTAGTCTGTGTAAGCATACAGAATTTTACATGATGAACTGCAGCAAAGCCAGCTCTTGTAAAGATAACACTGATACAACTATACCTATAGTTTTAGAAATTATTTATTCTGAATTAGTTACATCATATTACCTCAAGTTCAGAGAGCTTCTTGTCACTGTCCTTGTCTATTTGATTAAATGCTTCAACACTGCGAGGTCCCTTATTTACTGCATAAAGTTCAATCTCAAAGATCAGTGTCGCATTGGGTGGAATCTTTGCCTGTGCTATGAATAAAATTTTAAAAAGCATTTAAGAAATCAGACACTATGATCAGAGATCACACATATGATAAATTCACACAGAAAGCATCTTATTTTTTATTACAAAAGGCTGTATTAATATTCAGGTTAAACTCTTAATTTAAATATTACACAGCTTGACAGGGAGATTGTTCAGATTGTGTTAGAGAAATGATTCTAAGAGAGATTTGCAAACAATATACTTCCCTGAAACAAAATTGTATTGCTCATATCAATTCAGGTACTTTAAAAATTAAGAGAAGCGTTTGTGTTATCATGAAAAACAAGTATTTCTAAAGTTCTCACTCTTTCACATACTGTCATATGATGGGGCCTATTGAGAGACTGATTCTAAGATGTATGACTTTATTAAATATTTGCAATCTGATTTAAAAGATTAAAGATTAGACCAATGATTGTATATATTTTCTGTCTGAAGACACAAGAAGGCAGTATCAGGTTTTACCAACTATGAATTATACCTGTGGTTAAAGGACTTTATGTAAAATAGTGTTTGAAATATACATCTCATTAGAAAGAAGCAATAGACTGTAAGTCATCTGATTCACAAAAAAACTTCATTATTCCTTTGTCAAAGCATTTTCTGGTATCTGATGTAAAAACACCACTGCCTATAAACACAGGTCATTGTATCAAGCATCTGGCAAAACAAAGGGAACTGAAAAGAGACAGTAACAAACTAATGAGGTCTAAAAGTAAAGCCAAAAAAGCATCAAGAAATCATGCAGTGTAAAATTAAAATGGAAACATGCAAATTGCTTCTAGTCATAGCCAAAGCCAGTGAGTATGATATTCTAACCTCTGAATTTTGACAGAATTTTGACCTTGTGTCAGTTCTTCATAAACTGAAGAAAAACTAAAGAATCTACTTTGTTTATAAACAGAAGATAAACAAAACTATTACTCATCCAAAATATCCATGGTGAAAATGATAGGTTTCAGAGTTCAAAAGATGTTAATCTTACAAGCTTTAAAAATGTAGAAGTTTTTAACATATCTGATATAAATCATGGCTTATATACTACCTATGGAAGAAAGATTCAATACTAGAATTCAGTGTCAGTCGTTTACAAATATACATACCAACAAAGTAAAGATATGTAAAGATTTAGAAAGCCACATGCATCTTTTCTAATTCAAGATTAGGCAGGCATCTTCCCCAGCATGCAGGAATACGCTGAGACAGAGGACAGGAATGCTGTAGGAAAATAATACTTTCTTGAAGTGCTACCTAGAACAAACAGTTAAAACTAGTATTAAAAAACGTACTTTTATTTGTGTCAGCGTTTTTCATTGTTGTTATGAGACTTACTTGTTAAACATTATGCTCAAGAGGAAAAAATTATTCCAAGTAAAATTTCTAGTAAATTTATTCCTAGTAAACTGGTTACAATGGAATTGTATGAAAGACAAAACTAGTGCATGGAATTCTGACATAGTGTCACTACCAATTATTATAGAGCAGGAGCTACCTTTTCACAGAAACTACTACACCCAAGTCAGAGCTGAAATTAAGATATCTACAATTAAGAGTGCTGAAACACTGCATAAAACTCTAACTGGAACTTTTTTTTAAAAAGTAGACTACACACTGAAGCATCATAAATTCGAATCAGATTTCACGCATGGTACTTTTACAATTGTTATGTAATGTGATTATATAATCTATTAACTATCCAGAATGTAAGCAGTATTTTAAACAAATTATTTCTGTTTAGATTAATTCTGTGTCATGCACTGGATTACATTCCGTTTTGCTCAGAAAAAGGAGAATGTCATTAAAAGGCTAAGCAGGTACAAGTCAAATAATATAAACTAAACATGAATAGAATATAGCAGATTAAGACAAAAAATGCTGATATGAATTATGAAGATCTTCCTTTTGACATCAATTTTTCATACTATGGCAATACTTGGAAAAACACATTGGGTGTGATGTACTGAATTCTAATGCAAACTGCAAGACCTGGGTGTGTGTCTCTGACAAGGACTTCAAACTGTGTAAGAAGGAGCAGGATTAGGCTGCACTGGTGCAGTCATCACCTTCAGTGCCTCCAAAAATAATGGAGCACCAATTTGTACAGTCATTTACAATACTGTATGTCTGAAAGGGTAAAACAGGAGATACAAAGAAAGAGAGAAAGAGAAGGTTTAAAACTTCTTTTTTACCATATCCTTGCTGTCCATATGCTAATGATGGAGGAATGATCACTTTCCGTTTTTCTCCAGGACACATATTCATCATAGCAATATCTAACCCTTTTATGACTTGTCCAACACCCAGAACGAACCATTTTGGATGACCTTCATTTTGCGTCCGACTATTAAAAAGAATTGTGAGTGGATAACAGTGAAATTATTTATTTTTTAAATAAAATAACTTTAAATTAGCAGTCAGTAAAAATGTAAATTAGATTATTAGAACACAAGAATGTTTAGAGTGCAAGAATATAAAGTATTAACACTTTTTCTGCTATGTTTATCATTAATTTAAGGTCAAATCTTGAGATGTGTAAGGGGCAACCTCCTTTTGGAGGGAAAAAAAAAGTAAAAAACCTAACTTATTACAAAAACATCCAATCTTCGTGATCATATACACTTGCATGCCAGAAACAAGGTGCCACTGCAGGATGTCTCAGAGAAGTGGACAGTTAGGAGCAATTCACTGCTAGAAAGCAAAAATATCTTCAGCAGTTCACATCACTGCAGGACAGGGTGGGATGGGATGGAGCATGGACAGGTGAGTTGGGGGAAACCTGGCAAACTTGGTTACAGTACTGTGTGCTCACCATCTCTTTGTTCAGTTTAGATATTCAGTGCTTGAGCCAGCTTCTGGTCATATGAAGTGTCCCCAGGATGAGAGCTATACTGAATGGTGATTAAGCAGCATGTAGGGCTGAGGGCAACACCACAGTTGCCAAAATCAGTCACTTCAACAAGCAAAAAAATGTAAGAAAATGGTACTGTTAAATGTAGAATTATCCTATATTTTTTTTTTCCTCAAATTATACAAGTAGAGGTAACGAATCAACAATCTGTAATAAACTAGGCTACTGTCTCATCTTTCCACATACGGGTAAGGAATGAGCCAGATACCTGAAGGAAAGACAAGACTCTCCTCCATAGTTTTTCACAGGTAAGTCCTACCTCACTAGTAGGATGCACCATCATTAAAGGCAAGGCACTGTAAAAATAAAGCTTTTGCACAATAGTTTCTGTACAAAGCATGCTAAAGCAAGCTGAAACAGCCTGAGGACAGACGGATGGGACAAAGTGAAAAAGCAAAAGCCTAAATGCTAACCCTGGGGCAAAGAGGAAGGTAACACAAATTGAGGAAGGAGGCAGCAACAGGGAAGGGCCATAAAGACTGCAAACCACTAACGTAATGTTGCTGCCCTGCACAATGGCAGCTATGTGGAAGTGCATGCTGTATTGAACTTTCTGTCTAGAACAGTCCCTACCAGTAGCTCCTCCTCCAAACCTAAGCTTTTCAGCACAGATTACAGCACAGAACATGGCAGATATAATAACACGGTGGGGTTTTTTTCGCCCTGCCAACGGGGTTCTTCATGTGATGTGTGGTCTACAGGCTCTCAGCGACCCTCGCAGTCGGTCCCCTTGGCTGGTGACAGCTGTCAGTCTCAAGCATGGCTTTGGTTTCCAGCTTACCTCAGAGCTGGCTCCTCTTGACCCTAGGTAAATCCTACATCCCTCAACACTCGGCTGAGGAAAAACAAGGGCTGAGATGGGGAGAAATTACTAATGCTAACATGGCTAGCGAGGACCCCGAGCTACGACCACACTGGCAGAGCAGGGGGTGCCGCTCACCCGGCTGAGGGGGCTCGGCGGGCCCACAGGTTCCCTCAGCCGGGTGGGCGGGACCCGCTGCTCCTTGGGGCAGGCTGTGCCCCGTACCCCACCGGGCTAGGGCCGACCTTCCCTTCCCCCCT